ATAAATAAATAAATAAATAAATAACTGGCCCAGTAGAGAAGTGCAGGGAGAGGGAAGGAAAGGGGTGAGGAAAGAAGGGAAAAGAAAAAGAAAGGGAAGGAGAAGAGGGGAGGGAAGGGAAGAGGAGGAGAGGGGAGAGAATAACCATGTGTAGAGAATCAGGCTGAAGAAACCAACTTATTGAAGAGAGTCTAAAGAAAATCGTCAGCTTTGCTTTCTATTACAGTTTTTCTCTCTTTCTTTCTCTCTCTGTTTCTGAAGACTGGGTCTAGGACCTATGAATACATGCTAGGCAAGTATTCACTTGACACAGCCCTCTTTGTTTCTATTTTGTTTTGAGATAGAGTCTCACTACTTTAGCCTGGACTGGCTTTGAACTAGTGATCTTTCTGCCTCTGGCTGTAATTATAGGCATCATCACATCCTGTCAATCATCCTCTTTTTCCTTCTTATGTATGTGCGTGTTCGTGCATGTGTGTGCGCACATATGTATAATCAGAGCATATTTGTTTCTTATAACCAAGGGATTCCCCAGGCAGATTTGCCCCAAAGTCTCATCTATGGTGATGAGTAAAATATTCAATATGGTACCCATTATAGTAGGGTAGAGCTCATGGTCTGGGGACTAAGAGCTGTAACTTCTATGATCTAGGTTCTTAGCTTATGATCCTTGATTATTCTGTCACCGATGCTTCAGTGCATACACATGCTTTGCTCTGTTTTCAATCTTTGCATTGGACCAAAATAAATTCTATAATAGATATCCCTCTTCAGAGTAGCGTGACTTTCCATCTGGGACGGATATCTGAAAATTCATACTGGGAGCCCAGAACATTGGAATGGCTCCAAGATTCTTTGTCACACCATTGGCCAGGCTCTCGCTTTTCCTTCTTGGAAAGGTGTGAATTTGACCTTCTCATTGGTCACCGAGTTTGCCATATTCAGCTACCGAGACACAAAGGGCTTTGGGGGAAAACAGCCTACAGAATTCTATTTGAGGAATGCCAAATGGTTCTCCGGGCCCCAGCTGGTCCTGCTATCTCTTGCTCAGTGCCTGAAATGTGCACGGCTATTTTTGTCAAGTTATAATATTATTGCTCACAACAAAATCTAATATTAAAACAAAATTTAAAGTGCCCTCAGGAAGGGCAGAGAACTAGCAAACCTGTTAGATGTGTGGCTTTGGGAAAGTCATAGGCTGTGTGCCTCAGTTTCCTCACTTGGAATATGGTCATAATACCATAATACCTGACAAGGTTTTTAGGAGTGTTAAATGAGCAGTGAATTCCAGACAGCATCTGACAATATCATCCCCCTGCTAAAGAAAAAGAAGGAAACAATGCCTTTCTCTACCACTTGATTCTGGGCAGCTTGAGGCAGGAAGACTCCCAAAGAAGGACATAAATAATTTTCATTAATCTTTTTTTATTTCTAGTTTTGTTAGATACTGTGTTTGAATGCTCCTATTGAAGTGGTGCCAGGGGCCATGCCAGGAGTTTTCCTTATACAAGTTAAGTTCTTGGACTGAGGTCTGAGATTGGGAATGGAGAGAGCCAAAGTGCTGGGTTTGAAGGATCTGGATTACTACCAGATGGCATAGCTTGGCCACATGCAGGATTATTAAAGGTGTTGTGTTTTTATGAGGGTTTTCTCAGTATATGTGTGTGAGCTCTCTAGTACTGGGATGGTAGAGGAGAAGATAGGAAGTTATAATACCTTTAAATCAAATCCAAGTCATTTCTCCCACTAAAACCATTAACATATTTTTAAAAAATATTTTCATGTTTATTATTATTATTATATAGTTGTACAAAGAGGTTAAATCACTAAAGTCAGGTTATGAGTGCTATTTGTCTTTGTCAATGTCATCCCTTCCCTTGCTCTCCCCCATTTCCCTCTCCCCTTCCTATCCCCATAGTTTATGCTTTTATGATTACCTTTAAGCAGTTGTGAAATGGGATTATTATTTAACAAAGCAGTTTGTGAAGATAATGTTTCTTGGTCAATGTCACCTTTCAACATTCTCACCCATCCCTCCCCTATCTACCTTTTTCAATGTATTTATCTGGTGTTCTGCTCCAGATTACTCTTTCTCTAAACCCAGGAGGATGGAGCAGGACCTCCATGGGGCCTGGTACCAGGTACCTGGGGTGCTCGATGGGTCTAACCAGGGCTCTGAGAATGTTCACCAGGAAGTAGCACAGATCACTTCAGCTCAAATGCCTCTGGCTGAGGGCTGTAAAGAAGCAGAGACATAGTACAGGCCTACCATGTGTTTGGCAGAACAAGAATGTTGATGACTAGAACAATTATTTCCACACTTATACACATTTTTACCAGTCCTAACCTCATGGAAGGTAAAGATGTGGACATTCTTCTACCTTTCTCTAAGCACCAAAATCTTCAGTACATATACAGTAAGTGTGAGATGATGGATGCAGTATAGATTGTGTTCCAGTTACACACTAAGCAGGCTAAACTGTGATAAGGCCAGAACTCTTTCCCCAATGCCTTTTTGTTGTTGTTGTTATTGGGCTTCAACTCAGGGCCTGGGTGCTATCCCTGAGCTCTTTTGCTCAAAGGTAGTGCTCTACCACTTTGAGCCACAGTTCCACTTCTGGTTGTTGAGGGGTTAATTGGAGACAAGAGACTCATGGGGACTTTTCTACTTGGGTGGACTTCAAGCTGTGGTCCTCAGAGTTCAGCCTCCTGAGCGGCTAGAATTACAGGCATGAGTCACTGGTGCCTGGCCTGCCTTGCCTTTTGATAGCTCTCTGCTTCCTTTGCGCTGGCTTTCTGACTCTGGAAGTGGTTGTCTGGATGATTCTTCACCATGATTTAGCTGCTCTAAACCCTAGTCCCTGCAGCTGGAAAATGGGGGTGTTGGTACCTATCAAATAGGAAGTTGTGTCTGCAAGCACATGGTCAGGAATGACGAGGTTTTGTCTAGTTTCCAGTATTCTCTCTGGGGGCCTAGGGTGCCCACTACCATCTGCCAGCCATACCTGCAGTACTCAGACAAGGATTTACATAAATCAAAACTTTGTGAGACTCTGTCTTGCAGATTTGTGTGTGTGTGTGTATACGTGTATGTGTGTTTGTAATTTAAGTGCAAGAACACAGAGGTGGCCGTAGGATCGTGTGATCGCCTTTCAGATAATAATCTTTTTTTATTCTGCTGGTTGTAGGGCTTGAACTCAGGGCCTGGGTACTGTCTACCACTTTGAGCCACAGACTTTCTTGCCCAGGCTGGTTTCTAATTATGATACTCAGATTTCAGCCTTCTAAGTAATTAGGATTACAGCTATGAGCCACTGATGCCTGGCTATAGCTTAATTTGGTTAAAAACATGCCAATCAAATCATATTGGTTAAAACACGGTCACATCACAAGGATATTAGAATTTAAGTCAGGTTTATTTAGGTATAATTCATAATTTACACACAATAAAACTCATCATTTTTAATGTGCAGTTCTAAGACTTTGACAAATGCTTGCAACTATCACCATAAACAAGTAAAGAACATTTCCATCACCTTTAAAAGTTCTCTTTTGGCTGGATACCTGTGAATCACGCCCGTAATCCTAGCTCCCCAAGAGACTGGGATCTGAGGATCAAGGTTTGAAGCCAGCTATGTATACAAACCTGAGGGTCCCCAACCAGCAAAAAGCCAGAAGTGGAGGTGTAGCTCAATAGTAAAGTATCATCCTTGAACAAAAATGTTAAACAAAAATATGAGGCTCTGAGTTTAAGCCCCAGTACAAAATCCCTTGTACAAAATCCCCAGTACAAAATCACTGATCATCTGGGTTTGTCTTTTACTAAATGTCATCAGAGCTTCTTTGACTTTTGAACTCAGGTTGGATAATAAACTGCTATGATTACACTGTATTTGTAATTGATTTAAACACTGTTAAATGTCCATCTCTTATGCTGAAATTCTTTTTTTTTAAATTCATTAATTTTTTTATTGTGAAAATACTGTACAGAGGGGTTACAATTACATGGGCAAGATAATGAGTACATTTCTTATCAAGCATTGTAGCCTCCTTTGTTTCCCCTTCCCATCCCTTCCCATCCTCCCCCCATCCCCCACCCGATCCTCCCCCTTCTCTTCCCCCCCCCCAAAGTTGTAAAGTTCGTTTTCGACATAACGACTTGTACATCTCATTGTTGCAATGGGTCCACCTGTATCCCTATTTAAATGATTTGTTTTCCCCTTCCCCTCCACAAATTATACCGACATCAAATACAGTGAAAGCAGGGGTTATACTGTGGGGGAAGGACATACAAAGCAACAAAGAAATAATCTTATAAATGTGTTAGAAACAATCGCATGAAAGAAAAAAAAAACATTTGAATACATATCTTAAGGTTCATTTCCCTAACATCACCTTATCTGACCTTTTCAGCTTGTATAAGAACAAGGATACCTAGGCCAGATATTATTGTATCATTAACAGTGTTACCAGGGAGAAGCTTTGTCAGATATCAGCAAACACTGAATGAGTGAATGAGTAGATGTGACTCAATGTGTTTGTGAAAAAATGCCTCCAATAGACACTATGCTGGAAATGAACTATACAACTTTCAGGGGAGGGAAATTGGGAGGGGGAAAAGCTGGGAGAGAATGAGGGAGAAGGTTATACTGTTCAAAAGGAAATGTACTCATTACCTGACTCATATAACTGTATACTACCTTTACAATAACATTTAAAAAAATAAACCAAATGACCTAAATCATTGTTGACTCAGAAAAAGCAACTTGATATCCAGTGGTATTCAACCTAGCATATTGTAAAGCAGCCTGACCAAACACACTGAATACAATATGTATAAATGTTTAGAGTCGTGCTGGGTCTGAGTATTATGAATCAGGACCATCCAGCCAGATGCATGATCAGAATATCCAATTAATTACAAATAATATGAAAAAGTCCTTAATCACTTAACAAATACTTTTTGCTATTATTCATTCTAAGCACATACGTAAAGCTGTTTATTTCATAATTTTCACACTCCATATTTCCTGTAGTAGATCGGACATGATGGTGATACTTAGAAGCAAGATCATGAAGTCCTCAAAATCAAGCTTATTTTCTGTGTGATAATCAAGTTCAGAGAGGATGTCTTGGTAGTTTGGCTTGGTTTCTTGTTTCTGTGAGAAGAAAGGATAAATGAGATCCTAATTGGTTATATAAACCTTAGGTTTAGAGAGCCGGCTATTAATAATCATAACACAGCATAGGTGGTTACCTATACTACCACTCAGGTACTGTGTGTAAAATCTTCTCATGGCTCATGTTGTTGAATCCTTATGTGGCCTTTTGAATATGCCCTGTTATTATCCCCAGTCTACAGAAGGCCCAGCAGAAGTTAGTAAGAAGTAACTCACTCCCAAGCTAAGCAGGTTTTAGGGTGGAGCCAAGATCTGTAGCCTTGTCTCCCTGAGTCTAAAACTCATGCTCTATAAACTATAAAATAGTTTTCTTTTCCTTGAATGTTGTCAGACTTTCAAACTAGAGAGGTGATAATTCTTTGTGTGTTCATCTGAATGCTGAGATGATCCAGAAATTGAAAATAAACTATGCTAAAAAAAAGCCTGCTGCTTTGGAAGTTTGTTCAGCATTTAGCATATAAGTCAAATCTAAGTTCATAGTCAGCATAAACAGATTGAAAGAAACATCTGACTAACGCATACATGGAGAGACTTTTCAGTTTCGAACCACAGCTTGGAGCCATGACATTAAAAACACAAAGGTCGCTTCTTTCACTCTAATGCTGAGCTGTGTTGGCATTTAGTTCAACTCCAAATGCCCCCCATGTGCCAGTTGTACAAATTCATTGTGCAACGATCAAGGCACTTTTGGAATGATAGTACATCTTCTTACAGGCTGAGACCCATCCTTGTTTTTCTAGGTTGGCCTCTGGAGATTATTGCATTAGTGAGGACCAAGGGAGCTCTTGCCTCTTCCCTTCAAAACAGACAGAGTCAGGTTGCAAGATAAAGAGGGGGCTTTACTTGTGCTTTGGTACTACTGCCTGAAATGTTTCAGACACATGTAGCTCTGTCCTCTCTCTGTGTTCTGCATGTTATAAGATCACAGAATTGACCAATGTCTACTTCAATCACCTTGTGTTTGTATTGCCTTAGTCATACACCTAAGTGCCAGTTTTAGCAATGGCTACTAAAATCCTCCATATTGTGTAATTGTGCTTAGGCCTGTAAGAAAGGAGATGTTCCTTTAGGCTCCATGCCTCAGCCAAAAGATGTGGCAAACTTTACCAGAGATGCCTGTGCTGTAGTGGGAAGCCATCCAGTTAGGAACGAAGTGGACTTCTCCTGCCTTTTGCCGTTGAGTTCTACACATGCACCTGCCTCCTGCCCCATAGAATGTTACAAGGCAGGACTGTTGAGCTAGAGAAGCATTCTGCCACTATTACTGTACATGTTTGTCAAGAAAAATTAACTCACTATTGACCCTGAGAATGCTTTGGGATGAACTGCTTTCTCAAGTCCTCTGAAATATGGCTTTGCTTCCTGGTGCCTCTGACCTTGATCAGAGGGAAGGATTACATTTAAGCTTAGGTATGTCCATTGTAGAAATTGACTCCCTTTCTTGGGTTTAGGCTACATTGAAGGATGTGGGGGATGACATATCTTTCCTAATGCCTGGTTTTAATTTTGTAGTCTCTCATGTTCTCAGAGAGGTGATAAGTTACATGAAGACATTATTTCTACTCAGCCTTCATTTCATGCATTGCAAAGCCCTCTGAAGATTTTCTGAACCACCAGGTAGGTAAGGGGCCTTCTTTTCCCCCCATTTATTTTGCCATATGTTATAAGATTTGTTCACATCTTCTTTCTTTAAAGACTTCCCAGTAGGTTTTCTTTCTTGGCTAATTCTGACTGATATTTTTGCCTAAAAGGTTTTCCTTAACACATTCCTTTATATAACATTTAGAATATATTTTTAAAATGTAAATATAATCCTTTACCCTATTATCCAATGATGACTAAACCTTATTAAAACTTTCCTTTCCAGTCATTTCTGGGTATGTCATACTATAAAAGATCTCTCTCACAGATACACATACATACATTTTTCTAATAATCATAGATTCATAGAAAATTGTAGTGTTGACCCAGCTCCTAACAGTGAATGACATCTTACCTGTCTGGCATTCCTGCGAAATACATATATGTATATATATTGAGAGCATAATCACCTTTTCAATATCTCAGAATATACATAGCATCTTTGAGAGATCCTCTATATTTTTTATTGCTCTTCTAATGAACAAATATTGGTAACTGAGGCTTGCATGAAGCCTTCTGTTATTCTTACATACTCCCCCTAGGCGATTATTTCCTAGACTGTGAGCGAGCACCTATGAATGCTAATGGGATGGAATGAAATTTTAGAAGTTAGGAGAATAAATATTAAAGAAGAATTAATTAATAAATATTAAAGAATTTCTTAATTATTTTTGCTATAATCTTCCACTTTTTCCCCCTAAACTCACATTTAGAATATGTTTAAAAATACCTTATAAAATAAATTTATCCGGGTATAAAGAAAATGCAAAGAAAAAGTTGAAAATGAATGAGACTGGAGGCAGGTGTGGGAAAAAATATTGAGGATAGTATTCAAATCTCTGGAGCTTGAGAAGTGTACTTGTAGGTGATTTGGGTTATTTCCCTGAGGCCCATGCTATGTATGTCCTGTCTGAAACCTGCCAATCCTTGTTTGTGCATTTGAATTGCAGATCTTTCTTCTGACCTCTTAACACACATGTCTTGTGGCAGTGTGAGTGTCTCACTTGACATTTCATGGCAATTGAAAACATGTCATCCAATAGTTGTCTAAGGGGGTTATAACTTAACATGTCTATTTATGTGTACATCGCCTGTTGATCAGAGTCATCCTTTATTATTTCCCTCCATCTCACCTACTTCTTTCTCCAAGAGTCAGATAGTTTCCTATTTCTCTTGTCACATCCAGTGAGTGTTACGATTGTATTCATCCACCATTCACTTCTTTTTTTCCATTCATCTGTCCTTCTGCCCATAGCCCCACCCTCATCCCATTCCAGACATGTTTCAACTTCCTGAAATTCATCTTGGTTTAACTGTCTGTTATTTGTTCAAAGAGGTTTATTCCATTAAGCTCCATTCCTGCATATACCATATTTTAGTCAACTTGATCATGCATATGTGCATATGACCATGTGTGTGTTCATGTGAGAATTTATATTGTAGTGTCACAGCTGCAGATGAGAGAAAGCATGTCTTTCTGGGTCTGGCTTCATTCACTTTTTTGAAGCATCCCTTTCCCTCCACCCCTTCCCAACTCAAATCTGCTTGCTCTCCATTCTATTCCTGTTCTAGTAATGAGACTGATGCTTTTCCCCTTAGTCAGAAACTGGCATGCCACAATTTGCTCTCCTCATCCTTCAACTCCCACAGCCAATCAATTGTCACATTCAGTTCCTTGTTTTCTAACTTTCCCTCATATTTGTTTCCCTCCATCTTTTGTTTGGTTGCTTCTCCATAACACTCCTTTCTTTCCTGTCCCTTTACATTACCCCATTCTGTTCTCTGTGCTACACTTGGTGTCATTTCTTCGATTTGGACTTCGCATTTCTGGCTTTGACGTCTTCTCAAGGTATGGCTGTATAAGATGACTTCCCCAGATGCCTGCAGCCCCATCTCCCATCACGTCTTATTCCTACTCCTTCTTACTGGGGACTCATCTCCCTGGTCATGGACCTACAACTAGCTTTTGCATATGCTGCTCATGTTATTTGGATGCCATCCTTGTCTCTTTTCCTTGTTTAATCAATCTTAATTCTACTTTAATTTCCTAGGACTCTAGACCACTTGCCCCAAGGTGTCTCTGCTTTACTCTTGCACTGCATGCTCTGCTCTTTTATGGTTTGGAACATTGTTGATGGCTTTTCCAACAGATCTTTTTACTCGATTGTTAGCATGTTCACTGCACTATGCCCAGTGTTCTGCTCACTGTGTGGCATCCAGTAGGACATTTTTTTGCTTCTTGGTGAGGTCGTTCATAATCATATAGGTTAATGCTCTTACGGCTATGAAATTCCTGAATTGGGTTTGCAGCAGGTTTTTGGCAGTAGCTTTTCCAAGTTTTCCATCAGGGTCAGAAAAGTTTCTGTAAATCAGAGCAGCAGTGGTCATAGCCTTCTCCAGATCTGAGCCCTTCTTCAAAGCTATAAGAGAAGAAAAACACAGTGAAGTATCTTATGGTAAAATAACCCTTTTCCCAGATATGGGGCTATGTCTTCTGGGGGAACTATGGGGAGCTTTGGGGAACAGATCTGGAAGGTGGGACCCAGCTAGGACCTGGCCTTGGGCTCTTCACGCTCATCAGAGAGTAGGAAACAGGCATGTTTGATCCTGCATCTTTAAATCATGGAGAACAGAAGGTCCTGTGGTAGCCTTAAGAACTGATACGACCTCAGGCAAATGCATCACCCCACTAAATTTTGTTTTGTTCTGAGCTGTAATTTCACTCAGTTGTTCATGAAATATTTATGGAATATTATCTATGTTTTGGGTTCAAATTTTGATATTCAGGATACCTCAGGTCATAAAGACCTACCCTGTGGCAATGGTATTATGGGTTAGCAGTAACATCATTTCATGCAAGAATGATAACATAGAAGGTCAGCCAACATAAAGTATTTATGTTGTTGTTGTTGTTATTTGTTTGTGTGTAGGTTTCTTCTTAAAGTACTGAGGATAGATTTACAGCTTTGCTCTTGTCAAGTTCTCTACCACCTGAGACCCCCCCACCCCCGCACCGGTCCTTTTCGATTTTAGTTTATTTTTCAGATAAGGTATCACTATCTTTTGCCCAAGTTCACTTTGAACATGGGATCCTCTTGACTCTACCTCCCAAGTAGGTGAAATTACAGGCATATGCTACTATGCCTAGTTCAGAGGCCTTTTAATATAATGGTGAATGAAACCACTGATGTGATCTCTCCTCAATATGTCATATGATCTAGGAGTGAAATCAGCAAAAAAGGAAACATATATATATATATATATATATATATATATAAGTACATATGAATTTATTAAGTACTGTTCTTTTATCATTTGTCTTACATATCATGTTATGTATAATTTGTTTTATTTATTGGCGAGGATGAGTTATCCAGATCTCCCCCCGCCCCACAACCACACATTTTCCTGCCTTAATATTGACACTGATTTTTATTTTAGTCATTTTGATAAGTATGAAGTTATATCTCAATATGGCTTTAGTTTCTATTCTTAATAACTATGGTGTTAGAAATCTTTCCACATGCTTAACTATCATATGGATAGCTTTGCTGAGGAAATGTCTGTTCAGGTATATTCATGGCTTTCCATTTTCTGATTGAAAAATGCAAAGCTGTGAGCTTTGAGAATTCTGAACCTACTTAACATAGAAGTAGGTGACCGATTATGAGATTTGCAAATATTTTCTCTTATTCTGAAAACTGTATTTTTTATCTACATAGTGTGTATGTATATATGTGTGTGTGTGTGTATGTGTGTGTGTGTGTGTGTGTGTGTGTATTTGCTGGTCCTTGGTCCTGGGGCTTGAACTCAGGCCTGGGTGCTGTTCCTAAGCTTATTTGATCAAGGTTAGCCCTCTACCACTTGAACCACAGTTCTGCTCCTGGCTTTTTTTTCTTGGTTTGTTAGTTGGAGATAAGAAGCTCTCTGAATTTCCTATCAGGCAGACTGTCCTTCAGTTCCAATCCTCAGATCTCAGTCTCCTGTGTAGCTAGGATTACAGGCATGAGCCTCAGGAGCCTGGCTCATGATGGGGGTCTTATAAGGAGAAATGTTTTTTGCTTTTGTAATTTGAGCCAATTAATTAATTAATTAATAATCAAGAATAACTAGGTAGGTTTGAGGCTTACGTTGCTGGAAGAGAGCAATCACTGGCTAGCTGCTGGGTGTGCTCTGTAGAGGAGGGAGTAGATTTCAGGCTTTGAGAGAGTTTGCGCTAGTATAGACACCTTGCTTTGTTGCTGTGTGTGTATCAGATGCCTTTCAAGCACAACCACATTTAATGCTTCCTAAAATCTACCGAGGTAAAGGTGGGTTTTATTTAAGTCTCATCTTTACATATTTGAGAGTCATAAGGTCATATTGTTAAAAAGTGAGAAGAATATTTTGAAGGGTCTGTCTGACTTCAAAGCCCACAGGAAGTTAAGCTACATTAGAATTTGTCTTTGCAAGATCATCTCATGGTGTTCGTAGAATCCAGACATTTCCCAGCCCTCCACCGCCCTCCATTAGCCAACTTCCATCCTTCTTCTGCATCTCTTTCTCTTAAAAAAAAAAAAGCCCACAACAAACAGCATGCATCTTTCTCTGAATATAAAATAGCATATGGTCAGGGTAAAAACAGAGCTTGAAAAAAATGTTTAAAGTAAAAGAAAACAAAGAGCTCTGTTTGTCCTACCAATACAGGTGGTAATTTTGGAAGATTTATGGTTTGGCTCTTTGCTTCATAGACCCAGCAGGTTGCCCCCTTACTTTTCCACTGTCTGCCTGGTTAGACTTATGAACTAGCATGTGGAAACAAAGATTGCTGTTTCTCTTTGGGCATCTTTCATTCACTTTCTTGAAGACAAAATGAGTGGGGTGAGGCGGTGGCTCATCCAACCACTTCCTGTTGTCCCCTACAACCTCATTTCCATGTACATTCTATCATCCAATCAGTATAGGTCCTGTTCTAGTTTGGGGTGTAGAAGCCTGAATTGAAGTAAAAGAATGATCTCTGACTTTGTGGAACTTACGTTCTTGTGGATAAAAGCAGTGAAAGATTTGAAAGCTCATATTCTGTGTGCCATCCATTCCTTCCTGAAGGGTGTGTGTGTGAGTAATTCAACTCTTTTAACTCTGTCAGTTCTTTAAGGTAGGTCCAGTCTACTGATGGGGAAACTGAGGCAAGAGAGATTAAAGTAGCTTACCCAAAGCCATAGACACCCAGTGTCATTCCTCATTCTGATGCACATTATCTCTAGATGTTGTTTTTCAGGCAGTGATATCGGCAGTACTTTTTTCCAAACCCCAAGATGACAGTTCTGCTGTCTCTTAAACATAACCTCTTCATGAACCATACACTGAAGCCTGGTGCTGAGAATGGTGGGGTGGGAGGAGGTAAGGGTGATTGGTGATGGCTTTTGTTACAAATCCTCCTCTAGCTCCCAGACAGAGAAGTTATGTTGCTAATGTACTGCAACAAATCTAAAAACATCTGAAATTTTGTAAATAAACAGAAGTTATAGACCTGTTGCATCATGAATGTAACAGTAATTTTTTAATCAAGATGGAGATTTGGTTAGATAAAAATATTAGCCGGGTACTGGTGGCTCAAACCTTTAATCCTAGCTACTCAGGAGGCTGAAATCTGAGGATTGCAGTTCAAAGCCAGCACTGGCAGGAAAGTCCTTGAGACTTATCTCCAATTAACCACCAGAAAAGCAGAAGTGGAGCTGTGGCTCAAAGTGGTAGAGCACTAGCCTTGAGCAAAAAGCTCAGGGACAGTGCCCAGGTCTCAAGTTCAAGCCCCACGAATGACCAGAAAAAAAAAAAGTATTAGTTGTCAGTTATATCTCCTGCAGAGACTGAGCCAGTCATTTTGGAGGAAGACCACCTATAAGGTTTGGTTGGGCTTGTAACTTTATACATGTTAGGCCACCTAGTTTGGAATAAGTATGATCCAAGTAAACTCTAAAGATATTTTATCTACACAATTGAATTTCAAGGGCAAATTGCCTCACTTTCAGAGTTGACCACATTGTCTTTTCACCCAATCAACAAGATCAGCTGGGAGTGGATCACATCCTGAGTTTCACTGAATATTTATGAGTCAGGTGCTTTTACAATCCTGCTCCGGATATCCAGAGATTGCTTGCTGTTCACTGAGAAGCAACTGGATACAGAATTAGGAGTCAGGGGATCCATCGTCTTAATTTAGCTCTGCCTTTAATGAGAGGTCTAAATTCGGGCAAGCTAATTCCTATCTGTGGACCTCAGTTCCCAAATCTTTCAAAAGAGCTTCCTGAATGTTTGATGGTTTATCCGCAGGTTCCTTCCATCAACTGGCGTTCCTTAATGTCCTAGAATTTTTAACTCTTGGCGTGCTGTCGTGGTAGAAGAGAGACACATGCATCCTCATCATCCCATGCCTTACCTTTTATTGAAGCCAGTTGCTTGGATATTGATATGCTGCCGACAAAACAAAAGAAATGTAATGATTTGGGGGAATTTGGGAGATGGTAGTAGCATCTAAAGCAAAACAATACAATGATTTAAAATTATTGTTTGTTTAGAAGATAATCAGTGAACACCCTAGTGGAATAGTCTTTTGTTTGGCAAAAATCCTTTGTTCTTTTGACACATTGTAAAGGAATGCCTAGCTAAGCCCACACATGCCCGTAGGGAACCATGTGGCCTAGTTTTCTCAACTGAGAACAGAGTAGAGGAGATAGGCTCACTTCCAGGCAAGCTTCTCCAGGCTCTTCCAGCTAGGATAGAAATTATCAGGAAGACTTTTGGGGCTACTTGTAGAAGATAACGAGGCTTCAGTTTCTTTAGTGTTTTTCATTATGTTGTTGCTGTTAGTGATGGTCATGGGGCTTGAACTCAGGGCTTGGGTTCTGTTCCTGAGCCTTTTTTGCTCAAAGCTAGCATTTTACTATGTTGAGCCACAATTCCACTTCTTGTCTTCTGGTGGAGATAAGAACCTCATGGAGGACTTGCCTGCCCAGGCTGGCATAGAACCGTGATCCTCAGATCTCAGCCTCCTCAGTAGCTAGGATTACAGGCATGAGCCACCAATGCCTGGCTGAGTATGCTATTTTTATATGTACCATACAATATGCTTTTATCATGTTTAACCCTTATCACCTTCTCCTTCCCTTTTTCCCTTTCATTGTCCCCACTGTTTTATAATCATGTATTATGATTATAATTTAGCCTTTTAATCATGTATTATTATTATTTAGCTTTCAATTCCATATATTAACAAAAATATTATACTTGTCTTTTTAATTTTATCATCTTTAAGTAGTTGTATGAAGGGGTTTCAATTTGATTACAACGCATCTTGATTAACATCCCTTCCACCATTCTCCCCCATCTCTCCCAGCCCAACCGCCCATAAATCATTGTCACACATGTACATTAAATTGTATGGCTGCGTTTGCCCACCCTTCCTCTCTCTATTCACTTGTCTCTCCTCCCTTGTTCTTGCTCCTCCTGACATATTTCAACTTCCTGGTGTTTATTTTGTTAAACTATATTAGTTGTTCGGAGGAGTTACACCATTGCATTCCTCCCTTGAAAATACTGTAATTTAGACAATATGTTTATAGATGTACGCACATGTCCCCGTACATATTTTCATATGTATTTGTAATGGTATGTGTCTTTCTGATCTCATACAACATGATCATTTCCAGTTCCATCTATTTCTCAAAGCTTGCATGATTTTTCCACCACAAGACAGTTGTCCAGAAAGCCAATAGGCACAATAAAACTTGGACACACATTTTTTTCCTAAAAGGAAATTTGAGGCTTCAGATCCGGTTGTGGCCTTGCAAGTAGCGGCATGAATGCCTTTTTCTCACTTGAAGAATGAGGAAGCAGACTCTGAGAAGTGTTAGGCCCTTCATAATCTTGGCAAGCCCCTCTTGATTTTCTGAAACCTCTGCACAATTATTGTCTGCTCTAGAATAAAGGATAGGCTGTCTTTTTACTTTTCATAATGTGCATTTGCAACGTGGTCTGTGTTGCTTTCTGTCTGATTGATTTTCTGCCAGCGCTATGCAGTGTATCCTCAGATGTCCTGCTGTCTGGCAGAGGATCTGGCACATGTTAGTTGTTTGATGCATGGTTTTGGCACTAACGTTGATCTACTAAATAGAATTACGTGATAAAGATGACCTTTTCCATTGATGAAACCAAATTTTACACATTTAAATAATATGAAATAATTTCTCTCTGGGATGGATCATTCAGAAGTAATATGATGTACAGTTAAAATCATTCCTGAGTTTGATTACCAAATGTTTCTTTCAGGGCAACCAAAGATATTTGTGGTAATTGAATTTCTTTACAGTTTAGAGTCAAAGCTGCAATTTTCTTTTCTCTTTGCTTTTTCCAATGTAATTTAAAGCTAGATTTGGATAGTTAATAGGCACCAAACCTTTGATATCTCAGTTACAAAACTGTTGACATGAATTCTGGAAACTGACCTACAAACATTTAAATGAACTTCAGTTAAAGAAAGAGATAAGTTCTACTGACCTTTTGGGCATTTTCCTAGGCACTAAAGTGGATGCTTGGGCTGCAGAAGGACTGGACCCCCCTTCTGACTGGATTGCTTGGTCCTGGGTGCTGTGTATACAGCCTCCCATACTCTAGTCTCTGGTTGTGTGTTTGCCCTTCCTAAGCAACAGTCACTAGTCCAGTGTTATTATTGTCATTCATTCCATGGCAACTCCACAATGGAACTCTTGGAAGAACTTCCCCCCTGTGTTTTTATACATAGGCATCTAATCACTCATGAGTTTAATAAATGTTTGAGGTCCACTGTGGGTTAGATGCTAGACAAACTGTTAAAGACACAGCAGTAAGAGCAGACCCAGATCCTGATCTCAGAGTCTAATGGGATGACTGATCTTAGTCAAGCAGTCAAACAAAATGTCATACTTTTGTATAGTGCTATGCAAGGTGCCATGAAATTGTCATTTGTCAGGGAGCTCAGTGAAGCGTCCCTAGGGAGGTGATGACTGTTGATATATAGGAGTTAACCAGATAAAAGACCACAGGGGACAGCCTATGCCAAGCCTTGTGGCAAGAAGGAGTGTCGTGATCACAGAAAGAAGGCTGCTGTGACTGAGAGGAGATTGTAGTGCAAGCTGAGACTGAAGAACAGACATGGTGGTAGATACGCAGGCGCTGACAGATCACAGTGATGAATACTTAAACCAGTTTTTAGTACTTTTAAAATTGTTTTTGGGTTCTAGGTAAGGAGGTTAATAAAGTCACCTGTACATTTTGGAAAGAGCCACCCAGCTTCAGTGTGAGGAGTGGTTTAGAGAGGTTAGACAAGGCACCAGGTGAGTGGCTATTTCATTGTAGATTAGACATCTTTCTATAAAACCTGGATGATGTATCAACTCCTCCAAAAGCATCTGATTCAGAGAAGATATTCCAAGGATTACTTCAGTCACCAGTGAGCTGATAAGTGATGATAATGGTGGTTCTGATAATGGTGGAGGTAGTGGTGATGATAGTGGTGGTCGTAATTATGCTGAAGAGGGCAGTGGTGGTAATGGAAGATAAATACTGGGAATCTGAACTTATTTATAATATCCTAGGACTGAAATAAAGCCGATATTCTTCAAGATATGTACATTTCAATAAGCAATAATAGGTTATTTTTCCCCTACACCAGAATCTCCTCATATAATGGATCACTTTGTTTGTTTACCTACAGTATCAAACCATTGGGCAAACAACAAAATCCTCCATCAGTCAACCCGGTCCTTAGGCAATGTGAGTGCAGTACAGAGTGTCCTAAGCAGGTGCCAATGTGGAGACAGAAGTGTGTAGATGTCAGACAGGGGTTGGACCAGGACTTCATGTGGATTTATTGACAAGGACACAAGACTACCCACCCAAAGGTCAGAACAATGACATCATGGTATGCTGGCTGCAGGCTGTGCAAGATTAGTACAGTATTAATGACACCTGGGGGGCCCTGGAAACTACCTGAGAGAGAGAAAAAAGTCATCCAGGGGACCTGTGTTTTTAGCAGGCTTGCTGTCACACTTGGGTTCTTTGCTATGCATTCCATTCAGCACAGATCAGTTAGGAGCAAAAGGAATGGAGTCTAAACCTCTTGCTTTTCCTTGTTTGGCTTGTGCTTGCTTGCTTTATTGACTTATTTATTTATTCTGGTGCAAAGTTCTTTACTGAAGGATCTGGAAGTGCTTTGGGAACTTAAGCACTGTTTGGGATATGCAAAACTTATACATACAGTGCACTCATTCTCATTCTTGAAGTAGCCAGTTGGTACTTAAGAGTCATTAGAGGGGGCAAATGCCACTAAGTTGGTGGTCATGATGTCATGAAAAGAGTCCTTCTCCCCTTTTAACCCTAGGAGAAACAGTGTATGTGGACACAACTTCTCACTCAATATGACTATATAAACTTATGCATTTGGAGACTAGTACTGTGCTTGATGGTTGTTTATTTTCATTCTCCATGGCCATTACAAATAAAAATTGTCATCATTTACAAATGATGGTATTCACACTTAGAGGGCTTAAATTTCTTGTCCAAAATCCTAACGTTAATAAATAGATAAGCCTAGATTAAAACTGAAAGCCCTTGGATTTCCATCCTGATGTTCCTTTTATTACGAAGCTCTGCCTGTCAGCATACAAGTGGATTTTATTTGCTTGATCTATTCACCTGCTGAGGGGCATCTAGGTTGAGTCCACATCTTGGCTATGGTAAACAATGCTGCAATGAACATGGTTGAACTAGGAGCTTTAGTGTGGCCTGGTTTGTATCAGTTGGATAAATTCCAGCAGTGGAATTGTTCGGTTATAGGGAAGCTCTAAGTTTAATTCTTGAAGAACCTCCATACTGCTTTCCAGAGTGGCTGAAAAAGTTTACATTCCCACCAAGAATGTAGTAGCATTCTTTTTTGGCCACATCTCCACTATCATCTGTTATTATTAGAATAGGAGACCAAGAAATCAACCCACAGACCTATAGCCACCTAATATTTGATAAGGGAGTGAAAAACTTAGATTGGAAGAAAGACAGCCTCTTCAATAAATGATGCTGTCAGAATTGGCTATCCACATGCAAAAAGCAAGCTAGACTCTTATATATCACCCTGCTCCAGAATCAATTCTAAATGGATTAAATCTCTCATTATAAGTGCAGAAACAATAGGGCTCTTAGGAATGGATCAAAACTCCCTGAGATCCAGAATCACAACAAATAAAAGCCTGGATAAATGGGATTGCATCAAACTGAAGAGTTTCTGCATGGCAAAGGACCTAGCTAACAAAATAAATAGAAATCCCACAGAATGGGAGATGATTTTTACCAGCTGTGCATCAGACAAGGGCCTCATTGCTAAATTACACTTAGAGCCCTCAAAATTAAACCCTCCAAAAACATGCCCTCAAAGAAACAACAACCCAATTAATAAATGGGCTAAAGAGACTCTTATCAGAAGAAGGAATAAGGATAGCTAGTGGACACATGAAGAAATTTTCAACATCTTTGGCCATGAAAGAAATGCAAACCAAAATAGCGAGAGTCTATTGGTTTTCATATTGCAAGGAGGTTTGAGTCTGCATTATTTGACTATCAAGAATATTACATTCCTTCTCACAGCTTATTAGCAATTTGGTTATCATTGGAGTACAACTCTGTAATAAATAAAATAAAATAAACTACAAGTACATACTGCAACATCAATGCCCTGCCAAGCTATTAAGCTGAATAAAGAATTCAGACGCAACAAAAAATATTCATGCTGTGTGATTCCATTTTTGTGCAGTTCACAAAACAAGCAAGACAAATGTATAGTAATGGAAGTTAAATAGCAGTTTTCTCTGGCCTGGACATTGTTTTAAAATAGCATAAAGGGATTTTCTGGGTGATGAAAATGTTTTAGGCCCTGATTTGGGATATGGTCACATGATACGTCCATACATAAGCTTATTTTATGTTAATAAAATTTGTTCACACTTCTGACAAGTGAAGTCACTTGAAGAATGATGATGAGGAAGTTGGAGTCACCAATTGAGGCCACTGTTGAGAAAAACATTGATCATACTCTTCCAGCAAATTCTGTTGTTCCACAGTCCAGGTGAGCACTTAGCTCAGCGAGGTCCACAGGGCTCTATTCTGGCCTTTAAGCACAGACTTTTCCCCTTCAAGGCAGAAATACCCCTAAGTCTCAGAAACTTAACTTCTGCAATCAATCCATTTTTAATTCTGTTAGGAAAGATATCCTTCTTTCTCCAATGGGAATTTGAGGGAATAATTTGGTTTGTCAAATTCTTCTTCAATTTTCTTGCCACATACCCCACTGAAAAAGCTCCAGAGTTGAGCTCAGTGCATTGGGATAAGTGTTATTGATTCTTATTCAGGGCCTAATCGAATTCTGTTATTCTATATCTAGCTCATTTCTCTTCCTGCAGTAGAAAAAGGAGGAGTTTTCTTTTCTATAGAGACAGCATCATATGACTCTGTGAAATGGCTCTAACTTTTAGATGATGGTGATTTTTGTTTGTTGGTTTATTTTGTGGTGCCAGTACTGGGGTTTGAACCTGGGATCTTGTGCTCTTGCTTGGCTTTCTGGCTCATGACTGGCGTTCTACCACTGGGGCCATGCTTCCAGTCCTAAATAGTGCTGTTACTAAAACTACTGGAGCTGGACCCTCCTGCCACTTACTGTTTACTTGGTTAATATGGCTGGCCAAAGGATGAAGCAGTACGAAGGAGAGCTAGATCTGCCTATAAAATCAGCCAAAATTTTATGTGCAGGAAACTCAAGGTTGTTCTGGAATAAATTTTATATCCTTCCAGTTGTTGAGTGTCTACCCAATGGTGGATGCTGATATGCTACAAGTTGTGTTTTTTTCCAATATTTAAAAATTGGGTTAACCCCTCTGTACAGCACTTTGACAATAATTCTGAAAAACAGAAAAAATGGTGGTAAAATACACACAAGTAAATGTTACCAATGTAACCATTTAAGTATATAATTCAGTGGCATTAAATATATTCTCAGTGCTTTGGGGTCCTTACTGCCTCTACTTCCAGAGCCCTTTCACACTAGAATTCTGCACTTGCTTACCACTAACTCCTTGTTCCTCTTCTCCTCAAGGCCCATATTCACAGTGCTGTCTCTTATCTCTGTGAATATGAGTGCTGTAGGCACTCACATATCTGAAATCAGACAGTATTTGATGTCTTACTAACTGGCTCATTTCATTTTAAATAATCTCCACCAGATTCCTCTATTATTGTAGTACATGTTGGAATTTCCTTTCTTTGTAAGAATGGGTGATATTCAATGGTATATACAAATGAACATATCCATATCAGAGTTTGTTGACCCACCCATCCAACAGTAGAATGCCAGGCTACTTTTACATTTTGCCTGTTATGACACTTGTATGAATATGACTATAAAAATATCTGTCCAAGTCCAGATTTTAATTTTTGTCTGGAGGAAGGGATGTATATCAAAAAGTGACCTTACAGGATCACAATAAATCTATTTTACATTTGTTTTAGGAGCTGCAATACCATCTCTCTGGTGCCTTTACCATTTGACATTGCTACCAGCAATACAGGAGGCTGGGTACTGTCTCTC